GTTGGAAAGAGCAATTAAATATGAGTGCTTTTTCCTCTTTCTAAAGAGGTATATTCTTGAAGGAAATTACAAAAATTTCTTGATTATATTGACTTTTGATATTTTTTAATTATTGTAGAACTTATTTTATTGTCAATTAATTTTTTGGCACGTGCGTTGTACGTGTATATCGAATCATGTTGAAAATTTTCAAGATTTTTAAGTAAAAATTCCATATTAAAACTACAATTAACCAGTTAAATTTTTGTATAAATCTAGTACTGTAATCTCAAATTGGAGCTTGTAAAATGGAACTTATTTTAGTAAAGAATATTTTAGTTCTCCAGGTTAATCGAATCTAAAAACTGACACTAAACACCGATTAAGAATTAAAAAAAAATTAATCCTTCAAAATGAACTTTCTGACGTGAAATCAAGCTAGTCAAACCTCAAGACAAATATGAGCCTCATGAAAAGTTTCATTAATAAAATTTTCCACAATTTGCTATTGGAAAATTAATAATAGCAAATCGAATTAAATGAAATATGCTCAAATTTGTCGTTGGGAAGTTGAAAAAGATAAACTAGATAAATTTGATGTTATTGTATTTAAGAGTTGATCTTTTTCCTCTATCTAAAGATGCATGGTTGAAGCAAAATATTTAAATTTCTTGAATATATTAAGTTTTGATATTTCTAATAATTGTAAGACCTTATTTTACGACTAATTATTTTTTGACATGTGTGTTGTATGTGTTACATCAAGTCAAGTTTGAAATATTTTCAAGCTTTTTTAAAATCTAAGTTTTAGACCCACTCCCTCCCTCTCCTATGGACGTAGTCAAAATAACTCGATGTCTACAATCTGACCAAAGTAATTATTAAACTCATTTTAACAAAAAAAAAAAATTGAGGCTTAGAGCATCTTTTATTTCCAAATCAAATATCTACATATGTTGGCCTAAAAAAGACCCAATCCATTAAAAGAAATAAAACAAAGCAAAACTAAAAGAAAAGCTAAAAATAAAATGAAATATCTAGAAGTGTGACAACAACATTTTTTTAAAACAGTTATCAGAGGGAAGATTAAGAGACGTTGGTGGCGGTGGCAACGACATCATCTTCAGCTAATCTGGCTCCTCTGCAAAGTTCTGCAACCTCGCATAAATAAAGAATCTCACATCAAACAAGGCTTAGTAAGGATATAAATAACTAACCCTTCAAATCTACTCTCTTGAAATACTTGAATCTAGTCTTGTGAGCTAATATTTTTACATAGATTATTTTTTGCATGCAGCAAAGATCGATCTTTTTAAGCCAAAAATCTTGTGGTTTGGATGATGCAAAGGAAACTTCAAATAAAATCATTTTTTTCTTTTATAAATATAAATTCGATGAATTGAAATTCAAAAGATTTTATACTGCCATCAAAACTCAAATCCACAAAAAGATTACTCACTATAATTTTTTTAGTACACTTCTTAAATTTCTCCTCTAATGAATATTCATAGCCTTCAACAGTATCTTTATATGTAAACTTGTTGTATATTAATTTAACACAATTATAGATAAAATATGTTGGTTTAACTCCACAAATTTTGATTTTATACCATATATAACAACTCAAAGCTCTTACCAAGTGCATGATATATTAACGATGATTTCAAATTAGTCAGACCTCTAGATAAATATGACACTCCGGATGAGAAACCAACAAAAAGAAGTATTCTAGTTCATAATAATAGGGATATATATCATCATATATATGTATATGTTCTACTAATACATCTTTAACACTCATCATATTTAAAAGTAATATTTATATATCTAGATCAAGTACATAACTAAAGAAGTACTATATTATATAACTTTAGTCTTGTAATAATATTATTTCTTCTATAATAAGAACTATAATATAACTTTATCCTTTGATTTTCTTCTAAACTTTGTTAGAAATTTTCTCAACAAGGCATTGAAGTATATACTTTGTTAATGGCTTCTCTTAACATTCATCAAGCCCAGCTTCCATAAATTTTTTGCGATATTCTTCATTGTCGTTTGGAGTTGTTATTCCCACAATCATCTTAGCAATCCCCATCGATCGAAGCTTTTTTGTTGCCTAGTAATCGAAAAAAAATATTCTATAAAATAAAAGCACAGTTCACACATAAATAAACGTTATGTTGTTTGAATTTTTTAGAAAATATGCACATGTGTTGCACGTGTATATCGAGTCATGTCATATCATAAAAACAAAAATTTGAGTAAACAATTACACATAAAATTAAGATTAAATTGTAATTAGTTAGGAATTAATTACTTCAATACCATCCATAATAGGCATAGTTGAGCTCATTAGGATTAAATCAAAACGCATTTGTGTTTTATCATGAATATTGAATGCCATAAATCCATTTCTTACTCCTAATATCTCCGCTCCAAAAATTTGAAGAAATAATATATATGAATTTTGAGATATATCATCATTAGCCACAATAAATACACTTATTTTTTCACCTCATTTAACTTTATCTTACCCTTTGAAGATGAAGCACTTGAAGCAAGAAAAATAAACAAATAATTTAATTATAATTTATAATTTGCAATAAAAAAAACATAATATTTAACATAGTTCGAATTATATATGTAATATTGAATGAGAGAGTTGAGTAAGTATTTGAAGAATACTTGAAAGCACATTATACTATAAAAATGATTTGATGCTCATTTAAATAGGAGTCTCATGGTAAGTTTTCATAAATAAAATTTGCCAAAATTTGCTATTGGAAATTAATAATAAGTAGCAAATTGAATTAAATGACATATGCTCAAATTTGTTGTGGAAAGTTTAAAAGAGCAATTGGATCAATTTGATGTTATTGCATTTAAGAGTTTTTTTCCATTTTATAAAAAGGAATTGTTGAAAGAAAGTATTCAAATTTCTTGAATATATTTGACTTTTGACATTTTTAATTATTGTAGACCTTTTTTCATTATAAATTAAATTTTTGGCACGTGCGTTGTATGTGTATATCGAATCATGTCGAAAAATTTCAAGACCTTTTTTCTAATTTTGCTTTTAAGTAAAAATTTCATATTAAAACTACAATCAACCAGTTAAAATTAAGTATAAATCTAGTTTTGAAATCTCAAATCGGAATTCATAAAATGGACCCGGTTTTAGTAAAGAATCTTTTAGTTCTCCGGATAAGTCGGATCTCAAAACTTAGACTAAACACCGATTAAGAATAAAAAAATTTAATCCTTCAAAATGGATTTTCTGACGTGAAATCAAGTTAGTCAAACCTCAAGACAAATATGAGCCTCATGGAAAGTTTTCATTAATAATTTTTTTCAAAATTTGCTATTGGAAAATTAATAATAGCAAATTGAATTAAATGAAAATGCTCAAATTTGTTGTTGGAAAGTTAAAAAGATAAACTAGATAAATTTGATGTTATTGTATTTAAGAGTCGATCTTTTTCCCCTTTTTAAAGAAGCATTGTTGAAGCAAAATATTAATATTTCTTGAATATATAAAGTTTTGACATTTCTAATAATTTTGTGACCTTATTTTACAATAAATTAGTTTTTGACACGTATGTTGCATGTGTATATTAAGTCAAATTTGAAATATTTTCAAGACTTTTTAAAATTTTGATTTTACCCCCTACCCCTCCCTCCCCATGGACGTACTCAAAATAAGTCGATGTCGACGACTTGACCAAAGTAACTATTAAACTCTCTTTTACAAAAAAAAAAAAAAAAAAAGTTTGAAGCTTAGAGCGTCTTTTATTTTCAAATCAAATCTCTACATAGGCTGGCCTAAAAAAGACCCAACCCATTATAAAACAAAGCAAAACTAAAAGAAAAGCTAAAAAATAAAATGAAATATTTAGAAGTGTGACAACAACACTTTTTTAAAACAGTTACCAGAGGAAAGATTAAGAAACGTTGATGGTGGCGGCAACGACATCATCTTCAGTTAATCTCCTTTGCAAAGTACTATTACCTCGCATAAATAAAGAATCTCACATCAAGCAAATCGTTAAGCTCCATGAGGTGTATAAGATGAAGTCAGTATGATGAGAAATGTGATAATGTTATCTTTTAGATTAAATTAACTATCAAATTAATATTGAATAAATAAGTATTTGAATGTTGTTATTTATGTTTTCTACATAGCTTCTTTTATTTATTAATAGTAATTTTTGCATGAAGGTGTGTTGCACACGTATGTTGAGTCATGTCATATAAAACAAAACTTTGAATAAACATATTTTAAGTGATATTGAACTATGTTGCTCTAACATTTGAAAATGTTATCGTACTCGTATCAATTTCTCTAAACATATATTATTTTTAAAGACCTAACACATTTTTCAAGACTCATAATCATGTCTACTGCATCTTTGATACTAACCAAATTTGAAAGTAGTACTTGTGTATACATTTAGTCTTATAATAGGTGAGTTATTTCTTTTATATTATTGATACAAGATCATTTTATTCTTTATTTTGGTAATTTAGACTAAACAAATCATCACAAAAGAGTTCTCTATTTTCACAAAATGATGTCATAGCCTATTGAAATATTAAAATTACTAATCAACATGTTAAAAGTAAGTATTCTAACACTCAAATCTCGAATTCAAGTCTGGAGAATGAAGTCATCTTTAGTAAAAAAAAAATTAGCTCTATAGATTAGTTGGATAGCTAAATAGAAATTGAACACTGAGTGAAAAATAAGAAAATAAAAAATGTATCCCTCAAAATAAACTTTCTGATGATTTCAAATTAGTCAGACCTCAAGATAGATATGAGACTCCGAATGAATAACCAATAAAAACAAATATTCTAGTTCATAATAATAGTTGTATAGCATCAAAATCATATGTCTACTAGTACATCTTCAATACTCACCAAATTTGAAAATAATACTTGTATAGGTCAAGTACATGACTAAAGAACTATATTATATAACTTATCTTATAATAAGGTGATTTATTTTTTCTATAATATTAAATTTTGTTGGAAATTTTCTCAACAAGACTCTGAAGTATTTCCTTTGTTAATGGCTTCTCATAGCATTCATCAAGTCCAACATCCATAAATTCTTTGCGATATTCTTCATTGTCATCTGGAGTTGTTATTCCCACAATCATCGTAGTAATCCCCATCGATCGAAGCTTTTTTGTTGCCTAGTAATAAAAAAAATGTTCAAAAAAATAAAAATATAGTTCTCGCATAGACAAACATTATGTTTGTTTGGATTTTTCAGAAAATATGCACGTGTGTTACACGTGTATATCGAGTTATGTCATATCATTAAAACAAACATTCGAGTAAACAATTAGACATAAAATTAAGAATAAATTATAATTAGTTAGGAATTAATTACCTCGATACCATCCATAATAGGCATAGTTGAGCTCATTAGGATTAAATCAAAACGCATTTGTGTTTTATCATGAATATTGAATGCCATAAATCCATTTCTTACTCCTAATGTCTCCACTCCAAAATTTTGAAGACATAATATATATGAATTTTGAGATATGTCATCATCAGCCACAATAAGTACACTTAGCTTTTTCACCTCATTCAACTTTCTCTTACCCTTTGAAGATGAAGCACATGAAGACATTTTTCTGCAAAAAAAAAAAGAGAAATTAATTTAATTGTACTTTATAATTTGCAATAAAAAAACATAATTATTGAGCATAGTTCTCATTATTCACTAAACATATATGAAATTATTGAATGAGAGAGTTGAGTAAGTATACTTGAAAAATACTTGAAAGCACAATTTACTATAAAAATGTTTTGATGGTCATTTAAATAGGAGTCTCATGGTAAGTTTTCATAAATAAAATTTGCCAAAATTTGCTATTGGAAATTAATAATAAGTAGCAAATTGAATTGAATGAAATATGCTCAAATTTGTTGTGGAAAGTTTGAAAGAGCAATTGGATCAATTTGATGTTATTCTATTTAAGAGTTTTTTCCTCTTTCTAAAGAGGAATTGTTGAAAGAAAGTATTTAAATTTCTTTAATATATTTGACGTTCGACATTTTTAATTATTGTAGACCTTATTTTATGTTTTTTTCCATTACAAATTATTGTAGACTTTTGACATTTTTTTATTGCAAATTATTTTTTAATTATTGTAGACTTTTGACATTTTTAATTTTTTGACACGTGCGTGCGTTGTACGTGTATATCGAGTCATGTTGAAAAATTTCAAGATATTTTTTTTAATTTTGGTTTTAGTTCACCCACTCCCTCTTCCCTTTCCTTATGCACTAGGGTCGGATATCTAGGGAGAGGGAGGGTGTTCATCATCATCATATATATATATATAGAGAGAGAGACCTTACTTACATTGCAAAAATATAGTCCAAATTTTACTTAACAAATCTTTAGCCCAAAACTCAATTAGGTATACAACAATTTACATCTTGTATGCAATAATAGATAAAGCTTTCATATTTTATTTTTACAAAATGTTGAAAACTTGATATACAATATTATTTACCCAATAAATAGTATATACAAAAGTATAAGAAATAATTGTACATTCATATACAATAATATACAATCAGATACACTATTATACAAAAAAAATAAGGGAAATTGTATATAATAGCAAACTATTAATTCAAATTAAATGGTATAAATATAGTTTGATTTAATTGTACCTCATAGCAAATTGTTGCTATTTCACCTCTCTCCTGGTGAATCTCGCTCGCCACTCTCGTTCTCTCCCTCACCTCTCTCGTTTTTTATACAAACGCAAGTGTATAAAGTGTGTTTGTGTTTGTATAAAGCGAGAGAAAATTGTATATATACATATATTTTTGTTCC